TTTTCAGTAAGCTCATTTGCACCTGAAAGATGGACAATGAATAAGGAAGACTGGAGAATTGAAATGTAGTGCTGAATATTGAAATTCCTGTGCACCACCAGAAGAACACACAAGTCTGCTTTGAAGACCTGCAGCAAAAGTATTCCTTAGAAACGAGGATGCAGTAGAACCCCTCGATGCTAATCTGTTCTAGGAATGTCGCCATGCGATGCAGTTCTGAATCTGCTGGGTCACCCTTTTTTGGAATGGGTACAAAAATGAATCTCTTCCAGTCAGTTGACCAAGTAGCTGCTTTCCAAATTTCCTGGTATGGACCAGTTAATGCTGCTATTGCTTCATTAGTGTGTTAAAACATTTCTTTCTATTTTCTAAATCATTTTATTGGCGGCTCATACAGCTCTTATCATAATACACACATTGTGTCAAGCACATTTGTACATTTGTTGCTATCATTATTTAAAAAACATTTTTCTTTCTACTTGAGTCCTTGGTATCAGCTCATTTTGTCGTCCCTCACGAACCCTTGATAAATTATAAAATTTTATTATTTTCATATCTTGTCTGCTGTCTCCCTTCACCTCAGGGTGCCTTATATCGATCATTGTGATCGGTTCCTCCTTTTCCCCCATTACCCTCCTGGTATCACTACTCATTATTGGTCCTGAGGGGTTTATCTGTCCTGGGTTCCCTGTGTTTCCAGCTCTTATCTGTACCTGTGTACATGCTCTGGTCTAGCCCACCTTCCCGACACAATCACTGAAGACATCATGGGTGCATAAGCAAATGTAGTGAAGAAAGCTGGTGGTGCGTGGCTATCAAAAGATATAAGGTCTGGGGTCATAAAAGCTTGAAGACAAACAAGCGGCCATCTAGCTGAGAAGCAACAAAGTTCACTGTGCCTCCATTGTCCCTTGTGTTATGGATCAGTGAGGAACGTCTTGTCTTGGTGGGGTGAGCCCTGTGGTCTTCTCTGCGTTGGCTGCTCTGAGCAGGAATACCGACCTTGCGTTTTGTGGGCCAGGATGTGTTCCACTCTCCTTCCCTCTTCGTTTGCTCCTGTGTGCTCTGATCAGATGAGCCCCTCTCCCTGAGCTGTAGCTTCAGTGCTGTCCTCTGTGGTGCGTTCATATGGGAGGGGAGGAGGTGGTTTCGGGGAGGAGGTGGTTTCCACGTAGTTAGGATTGGGGTCTGTTCGTGTTGAAACATTTCAATGGTTATTCCATCAGCTCCTGTAACCTTATTTTTGGCTGATGGACCTTTTTCATTGCTGTTGGTTCTTGCTTATACGGTACCTCTTAAAATAGTGACATGTTGACTAGTTCTTTTTGGTAAAGTGACTGTTATTCTTCTGTTTTTGATATTTTTTTTAATCATTCAATATTTTCCCTTTAGAGTCTTTTTTCTCGTGTTCTTTTAAAGAACATTTTATTGGGGGCTCATACAGCTCCTATCACAATCCATATATACATCCATTGTGTCAAGGATATTTGTACATTTGTTGCCATCATTATTTTTAAAACATTTTCTTTCTATTTGAGTCCTTAGTAATCCGCTCCTCATTTTCCCTCCCTCCCTGCCCCGCCCTTCCTTCCTCACGAACGCTTGATCACTTATAAAATGTTATTATTTTTTAATGTTTTACACTGACTGATGTCTCCTTTCACCCACTTTTCTGTTGTCTGTCTCCCAGGGAGGGGGTTATATGTAGATCAGTGTGGTCGGTTCCCCCTTTCTCCCCCCCCCTTACCCTTGCCCTCCTGGGTATTCCTTTTTTAAATAGAAAGTCTAGCTTTATTTTAAAAACGATTTTACAAGTTTCTCCATTAACCTCAAACTTAAAAAAAAAATCATTTTATTGGGAACTCATACAACTCTTATCACAATCCATACATACATCAATTGTATAAAGCACACTTGTACATTCATTACCTTCATCATTCTCAAAACATTTGCTCTCCACGTAAGCCCCCAAACCTCAAACTTACATGGGTGAATTAACCATATCTTCCATTAGATAGATTACGAGCTTAATCCCTCAGAAGAATGTAAGTAAAAATCTCAAATCGTTCTTATAAATATACAGCCACCATAACACTCAGCTTAGTGCCAAAGTTTTCTCTCTATAAATACTTTTCATATACTTGCAGTTCTGTTTTGGTACAGTTGCATGGGCTATAATTTTACAAGCTTGCTGTACTGTTGCTAACTTCTGGTTCTGCTCCAAGGTCCGAATCTTGTAAACTGGGATGGAAACGTTAATTGGGATGCCAGAGTAACCCACTAAAAGCATCCTAGCACCCTTTTGTGCCCAGTGACAAGCCAGGAAATAAGTAGCGCCTCAAGCAAGGCCCTGTGGAGAGGCAGCTCTGACATGGTTTAAATACCCAAGTATCCCTAATATTGGAAACTCAGGAACGTGGGGTCCCCATGGCTCTATTTTTAGTGGCTCATACTCAATATGAAAAAGCTCAAGCTTTTTCATAGGTGCTAGTGAAATCAGTTTGCCCATTTTGATGGCTATGGAAAATGTCAGTGGCTTTATAACTATGGGTTTCTCAAGTTGTATTTCTAATTGGGTAGTCCCATCTTTATGCTGAGCCCCAAAGCAGGGCAACAGGGAGATCTGAACTCTCTAGTCATCTAAAAACGTTTGCTTATTTTCCCCTGTTCATATCTGCTGAAATTGTTCTTTTGGTATAAACATTATTCTGTGTTCATTTTCCTGTTGTTTCACTTTTAAAGCTTTCCTCAAGTCTTCCTGTTCCCCAGTTAGCTTTAGCTTTTTTTTTTTCCCATCCGTTCACCATATTTATTTTATTTTATTTTTTTAACATTTTATTAGGGGCTCATACAACTGTTATCTCAATCAATACACACATCAATTGTGTAAAGCGCATTTGTACATCGTTTCTCAAAACATTTTCTCTCCACTTAAACCCCCGACATTAGGTCCTCATTTTTCCCCTCCCTCCCCGCTCCCCCCTCCCGCATGAGCCCTTGATAGTTTATAAATGGGTATTTTGTCATATCTTGCCCTGTCCGACGTCTCCCTTCACCCACTTTTCGGTTGTCTGTCCCCCAGGGAGGAGGTCACATATAGTTCCATGTAATCGGTTCCCTCTTTCCTACCCATTCTCCCTTTACCCTTCCTGTTTTGCCACTCACACCACTGGTCCTATAGGGCTCATCCATCCTGGATTCCCTGTATTTTCAGTTCCTATCTGTACCAGTGTACCTCCTCTGGTCTAGCCAGACTTGCAAGATCGAATTCGAGTCATGGTAGTGGGAGCGGGGAGGAAACATTTAGGAACTAGAGGAAGGTTGTATTTCTCATCATTGTTACATCGCACCCTGACTGGCTCATCTCCTCCCCGAGACCCCTCTGCAAGGGGATCTCCAGTGGCTTACTAATGGGCTTTGGATCTCCACTCCACGCTCCCCCCATCATTCACTATGGTAAGATTTTTTGTTCTGATGATGCCTTATACCTGATCCCTTTGACACCTCGTGGTTGCATAGGCTGGTGTGCTTCTTCCATGTGGGCTTTGTTGCTTCTGAGCTTGATGGCCGCTTGATTACCTTCAAGCCTTTAAGACGCTATATCTTTTGATAGCCGGGCACCATCAGCTTTCTTCACTACATTTGCCTATTCACCCGCTTTGTCTTCAGCGGTTGTGTCGGGAAGGTGAGCATCACAGAATGCCAATTTACTAGAAGAAAGTATTCTTGTGTTGGGGGAGTGCTTGAGTGGAGGCCCAGTGTCCTCCTGCTACCTTAATACTAACCCTATAAATGTAGCTTTAGCTTTTTTATTTTCTGAGTAACATCCTTGCTTTTTAAAAAATCATCGGGTTTCTTTGGGAGTTGAACAACCCTTTCACAGGGTCGCCCGATTCATAACAGTAGCAAAGTTACAGTTATGAAGTAGCATTGAAAATAATTTTATGGTTGGGGGGGGTCACCACAACGTGAGGAATTGTATTAAAGGTTCGCGGCATTAGAAGGTTGAGAACCACTGTTTTAGATATATAAGGAGGGTACCCTGTAAAAACCCATAGTGTACAATTTGCCCCCGCTAGGGTGGGGTTGAGTAACAAGCTATGTATGAGTTAGTGCACCCAGAGGCATTGTCTGGGAAGGTTCTCTCTGGTCACAGTGAAATTTTTCTTAAAAGCAGTTTCATTTAAACATCGTATTTCATAATAGTTGATTTAAGAGAACAGCATATGGTTTTGAAATTTTATTTTCTGCTTGGGGGAAAATGCCACAGAAACTGTTGTGATGTTTAACACAGCTTACAAGGACAGCAATATGGGGAAAACTCAAATGTCTGAGTGATTTTCTCGTTTTAAAAAAGGTGAAATGTTGATGACAAACCTTGTTCTGGACTTTTGTCAGCTTCCTGAACGGATGAAACTGTCCATGAAAGTGTCTACTCGTAGTGCATTTGGAGTTAGTTCCACTAGATGAGACTGTTAATCAAGCGTAACAGTGTGCCTCAAACATGGCCTGATTTGTTGCAGACGGGGGACTGGTTTTGCCACCAGGACATTGTACCTGCTCACACAGCCATCTCAGTGGGCCAGTTTGTGGCTAAAACCAATATGCCTCTCTTACCCCATGCACCTCACTTACCTGAACTCACTCCATGCGACTTCATTTGTGGAAGAGATGCGTGAAAGGAGAGTGATTTGGCGAAGTAGAAGAGGTAAAGAAAAAAAACAAGGGAGATGCTGTCAGCAATCCAAACAGATGAGTTTGAAAAATGTTTCCAAGATGGGAATCGCAGATTTGACAAATGTATTAGGTGTAATGAAGAGTACTTTGAAGGTGATAAGGTTGTTTGGTAAAAAAATTTAAGTACATAGGTTTGTGGGGGGAAAAATTGCTTTTTTGGGGGGTATTCTATGGTATCTCCATTTTCTTTTTAGTGTTGTCTAAATCAACCTTGTTGGTCAATTTTCATAAATTCATCAATTTTTCTTTTTTTTAAATTTTAGGAAACACTCCTTTACATCTTGCTGTGATGTTAGGAAATAAAGGTTAGTAAATATTTTCTTATGCTTAATGCCTAGTTATGTATAGTATATTTAAAATTCTTTTTTAAAAATCATTTTATTGGGGGCTTGTACGGCTCTTATCACAATCCATACATACATACATACATTATGTCAAGTACATTTGTACATTTGTTGTCCTCATTCTCAAAACATTTGCTTTCTACTTGAGCCCTTGGTATCAGCTCTTCATTTTCCCCCTTCCTCCCTGCCCCCTGCCCCCCATGAACCCTTGATAATTTATAAATTATTATTTTTTCATGTCTTACAATGTCTGATGTCTCCCTTCACCCACTTTTCTGTTGTCCATCCCCCTGGGAGGGGGTGATATGTAGATCCTTGTAATCAATTCCCCTTTTCTACCCCACCTTCCCAACACCCTCCTGGTATTCTTAACATGAATTTTGTTTAGAATTAAAATTAGCTTGGTTATATTATTTTCTAATTGAAGTTAGGAGCCAGTGTACTAAAAATGACATAATTTCTCAGTTTCCGTAGTACTTTTTTCCCCTTGAGACAAGAAGTTGAGTAGCACTTTCTGTGTCTTTTGAAACTAATTTTCCTGTCATATTTAGTCATTTTCCTCTAGTACTCACTTCTATTTCCAGGTGCTCTTATTTCTAGATATTAAGGTTCTTAATTGTTTTAATACTTGTGACATCAGTAGTCCTAGTATGTACTTGAGTTATAATAAACTGTTCTTTGGACCATCTGTGCTTTGAAAATGTTTTTATGTGTGTATAAAAACAACATTTTAATATAAATTTATAGGAGCCCCTTGTGGCATTTTGGTTAGCAATTGGGCTGCTAACTGCAGGGTCAGCCCTTGGGACTGATCCATGGGAGAAAGACAGGGCTTTCTACTCTCGTAAAGAATTACAGCTCCAAAACTGCACAGGGGCATTTTTGCCCTGTCCTATAGGCTCACTGTGAGTCAGCAGAGAATGGATAGCAGTGAGGTGCTTTGTTTTAGTTTAAGTTTATCTGTAATGTTTCAGTGCCTAATGATAAAAATAGAGATTTCATTTATAAAGGTACTGATAATAAAAGGCAATCATAGTGAAAACTGAAATGTAAAGAGGTATTTGGCTTACTACATCAGAACTGATTTCCAGGTTTTGGAAATGGAATCTTATCATAGCTGAGATCTACCGATAGTAGAACAATTTTGTAAGATTTTTTAGTGGAGTAATTTGTGTATCAAAATACATAAGTCTAGTATTTTCTACAAAATATAACTGATAATTTAATATTTATTCTTAGTAAATAAGCAAGTCATAGATAATTTAAGAGTTTATTTTAAAAAAAGATTATTCTTAGATGCAATAAACTCAGTTTTCTGGGTTCCCGGTTATCAGGATTCTAGATAGCTGATCAGTAACAGCACTAAACTTTTTTTTTTTCACACTTAAATAATTTTATTTTAATAGAATATAGCAAAAACACAAAGACTGTACACAGTCCCGCACTACAAACATCTTGTATGCAACCCCCTGTTAGGAGCCAACTCCCACCCAGCCTACTTCATTACAAGTTCGTGATACAATGGTTCATAAGAACAGATGCAACATGCGTTTGCAACATGTGTCAATATCATTGTTACTGCACTGTCTTCAAAAAGATACTGTATTGGATCCAGAAGTGTTTCCTAAATGATTTTTACTCATAATAAGGTATGCTGTATACCAAGAGACATTAGACTAATGTGCACTAGATACAAAACTTGCCTGACGTTTGTCCACAGCGGAGTTAATGATGGACTGAGAAGGAACTCATGCATAATGCAAGGACCGCCTGTCATAGAACCAGTCTTCAGGCCATATATTTCATGAGGGACACGCGGAAAAGAGTTCAGTGTTTACCAAGAACATTTCATTTAAATTGCAGAGTTTATAAAATGGTACTTGAAAGACGAGCTCCAGGAAGGAAGGCAGCGTCTGGTCAAGAGAGGCTAAACACACTCTAGAGACAATGTTCACAACGCCCAGCTCTCTCCAGAGGAAAAGCAAGAAAAACAACTTCATCTGTCTGGAGCGAAAAGGATTTCACAAAGACGAGTTCAACAGGGAATACATTTTGTGGAGAACATGAAAAAAACCCTAACATACTATGTACTTTTTGAATATGCATACATCAAACCCAAAATGTTAGGTTTTACTTTTGTCCCTTTTTGGCAACCTCTGAGGCAGTGGGTTTGGGTTCCCAGAGGGCATTCTTGATGAATCTCATGGTGCCGCCTTTGCCCAGCTTGCCGGCCTTCTTGTGGGGGATCACTTCCTTGACCCTGTTCACGTGTTCTCAGATTCGCTCCCATTCCTGCTTTACTGCATGTTCTTTGGGGTCAACTCCCTGAATGGCCAGATACACCCAAAGCATTGAGTTAAATGTGTACACAGAAACTAAACCCACTTTTGTTGTTCGAGGGGGTCCAGCTTCTGCAACAGCTCCTTTCTAGAAGCAGTATCTCTTCCACGGTGTCTCGGAAGGGCAGTCAGTTGTGAATCGCAGCCCAGCAGTCTTCATTAACCTCCGCTCTTGCTGACAGCCAGTATGAGTAACTCGTTTGCCTTACATGCATGCCGTCACCCAGAAAAACCAGTACTAACCTTTTGAGGTTACCTTTTGAGGGCGTGAGTTTTAAATTTAAAAATGTGTGATAAATTTTTTTTGTAAGAAATCATTTTCCTGCATTTTCACCAAAGATGAGTTAGATAACGTATTTTTATTGTATTTTTACTGCATTTATTATTATAAAATTTTTACAATTTTTGTAGTAAAATATATGTAACAAAAAATACCATTTTAACTTTTAAAAATGTATAATTCAGTGACATTAATTACGTTCATCATTTTTTCAACTAGTACCACTATTTTTATCCCTTAAGCAGTGTAACTTCCCATAACTTTTTCCTTCATCTCCCCCACCACTAATAAACTCTTGTTTCTATTTCTATATTTATTCTAGTTATTTCATATAAATGGAATCCTTTTATAATATTTGACCTTTTTTGTCTGACTTATTTTATTAAACATGCTTTCAGGGCTTTATTATTGCATTCATCAGAATTTAATTTCTCTTTATATCTAAATAATATTTTATTGTATGGATGCACTGAGGGCCATGGTGACATGGTAGTTAAAGCATGAGGCTTCTAACCAAAGGGGGGGTGACAGGTTAAATCATCTAGCTCAGTGACTCTCAACCTTCCTAATGCCACGACCCTTTAATACTGTTCCTCATGTTGTGGTGACCCCCAACCATAAAATTATTTTCATTGCTATTTCATAACTAATTTTGCTACTATTATGAATCGTAATGTAAATATCTGATATGCAGGATATATTTTCAACGTTACACATTGAACATAATTAAAGCATAGTGATTAATCTTAAAAACATTTCTAATTACAAGTGAAATATTTCTAATTACAAGTAAATGGAATTTTGTCTTGAAGCATGGTGTAGCATGGATAATAGTCCTAATATAACAACAGAAACTACATTGCTATATTTTCCGACTATGCTAAAAAGCCAATATCAGTGTAAAGGATGAGATAGCTTCTTTCTCACCAGAACAAATTCTTGGGGCAGTCTTTGCAAGAGCACAACGAAGATCATATTCCACAACAAATCTACTTCTGTATTTAGGTTTGATAACCAACAAGCTGGAAAACCCAGTTTCACAAAGATATGTTGTTGCAAATGAAAGAAGAAGGTGCAACACAGTCTCAGACAGAACAGGATATGACTGCAAACATTTGATCCAGAATTTTGTAACTCGCATTGTAGAGAAATCTATTCTCGCTGCATCACTGTTGATAAGTTCAATGAACTCCTCTTGTGCTGTCTCAGGAACATCTTCAACTTTGACTGTGAACGGGCTTCTGGCAAGTGCAAATGGGGTGTCAGGTAGATTTGGAAAGGACGATGAAATGAAATTTCATCTGCAAGCATGTGCACGTGTTCTTTCACAGAAATTATCATCACAATCCTTTTGTCTGGTTCAATGTCATGCTCCTCAAAGAAAGCAGATAAGGTAGGCAACATGTAAATTTTATTTTCATTTTTTTTTTTATTTGTCAAAGATGAAATTTCATTTGGAATGGTCAGATATTTTCAGACAAATTGAGGCATGTTGCATTTGGTCCTTGCAGTGATAAATTTAACTCATTCCAGATGGCAAAGGTGTCAACCAAGTTAGCTATTTTCAGCAGTTCACTTTTATCGCTGCAAAGTACTTCAAACTGCAGTCTTGCTCTCTGATTAAAAAATGTTTTGAGTTCATCACGAAGCTCAAAACACGTTTTAAAACTTTTTCTCTTGAACACCATCTCACTTCAGTGTGAAATAGCAAAACATTGTTCAGTGCATCCAACTCATTGCACAGTCGACTGTTTAAAGTGCTCACCTTTACAAAAACAAAACTTATGCTGCTTTTCATTACTTCTTATAACTCTTGTGGCAGTGTCTTCATTGCTAATATTTGCCGCTGAATCATACAGTGAGTTCTGATGACTTTTGGTGACTCATTCGGTACCAAACGTTGAAATCCAGATCAACATCCTTGCATACCTGGAATACCATCTGTGCAAACACCACAAACCTTTTCCCAAGAGATCTTATCCTCTTTCAGAAATGAACCAACTGTGTCAAATACATCATGTGCAGTAGTTGTCATTTCAAGAGGTTTTCAAAAAAGAAACTCATCTTTAAAGTCATAATCATTAATATACCTCACGTAACTAGTAACTGAACAGTTTTCAATGTATGTAGATTCATCAAGCTGGATGCTAAATACTGGAAGTGGAGCAGATTTAATTTCCTGCATGACCTGATCAGGAATTTCAGCAGATATGTCATCTATTCTTCTGCGGACAGTGTCGTTAGATAAGGAAATTGCACTTGTAACAAATTCGTCTTGGATCATAACTTGAACAGTGTCTTTGGCCGCTGCCAACAGTAAATCCTCAGCAATGGTGTGAGGTTTCACAGCTCTGGTGATTGAGTGCCACCGAATATGAAGCTTTCAATGGCTGCTACATTTTGTTTGTGGTCCTTGTGACCAGTGTCGTCTGGCTTTCTTGAATCCATCAGCTTTGCTTCTAAAATAGTATTCTTCCGGCAAAACTCAGATGTTTGCTATCAAAATGGCATTTTAGTTTGTTTGGCTTCATAGATTCAGCTGATAGAACTTCACAACAAATAACACATTGCAGTTTCTCAATTCCTGCTGTAATTATTGAGGTAAAATCATACTGTAAAAAATCCTCACTATATTTTCTTAACGTTCTTCACTACATGATCCATTGTCATGGGATGGTTTGCTAACAAAAATAACATATAACAATAGCTTTAATATACAAAGCATGATACATGGTATAGTTCAGTCAATATAGTTCATTAAAGTTTCTTATGATTTACCATTCTCTGTGTTGTTTTTTTTACATACCTCTTACTATCACAAAGGGGCAGTATTTACATCAACCACAGCTGAATATACAAAGACCGATCAGCATCCAGATTAAGTTCCCATGGTACAGATAAATTTTTTTGCAGTATTGATGATTTGACAGTACATGATTTTACATTTACCCAGTAATTATAATTCAGGAAGTGTCGTTTTACCTCCAATACTGCTACTTTCTACACAGTAGTTGCTCTCTACACATGTGTACTGGTCCGCATAAGTATATTATGGTACCAACCCCGTCACATACACCTATATCTGTATGGGGTTGGTGCGATGATATCATCACTCCCGGTACTCATACGTGGGCGTATCTACATGTGGGCAGACCCTCCTGGAGATGGATAGAGGAGTGGTGTCTCGGTTTCTAAGACCATCAGAAATAAGTATTTTCAGATGGTCTTAGGTGACTTGTGAAAGGGTCAATTGATCTCCAAAGGGGTTGTGAACCACAGGTTGACAACTACTGATCTAGGTGCTCCATGAGAGAAAAGGATGTAGCAGTCTGCTTCAGTAAAAACTAAAATCCTTGGAAATCCTGTTTTCCTCTGTCCTGTCTGAGTCAGAATGTACTCAATGGCAGTGAGTTTGTTTTTTCCTGCTGTGGACATACCAGAGTTTGCCTGATGGAATAATCTTGCTATGAACATTACTGTACAAGTATCTGTTTGAATTCCTGCATTGAGTCAGTTGGGATTTAAAAGGAGTAAACTTGCTGAATTATATAGTAATGCAAGTTATAAACTTGAAGAACTATTAAACTCTTTTCCACACTGGCTACATCATTTTACGTTTCAGTCAACAATGTGTGAGGGCTTCAGTCTCACCATAGTCTTACTAACACTTGCTGGTTTCTGTTTTTCTGGTAATAATCATCATAGTGAGTAATAAGTATTATATCATTGTGGGTTTGATTTGCATTTCCTTATGGACAAATAGAAAAGAGACGAGGATCCATGGTTAAGTGTTCAGCTGCTCATGGTAAAGCTGGTGTCAGAGGTGTGATGGGCTGTTTCTGGGAAGATCTCAAGCTTCTGAAATCTGAGAGCAGTTTTCTGCCCTGTAGTGTTGCTGTGAGCCAGAGTTGATGCAGTGGACTTTGGCGAGGGCTAATGGTGAACCTCTTTTTGCGTGTCTGTTAGTCACCTATGTATCACTCAGAGAAATGTCTATTCATAGTTGTTGCCCTTTTAAAAAGTTAAATTGTTTTTTAATTTAGTTGTTGTTTTTCTTAGTATGAAGACTCAAAGATTTTGATAGAGAAATTTCGTTCTCTTTTAATCAAAAATTTTTTCTATGAACTTTCTCAGGCCTCTTTGTATGCTCTGGAATTTAAGGACTTTCCCCCAGTTTCTTTACTTTTTTTGGTAACACTTTTTGATCTACTCCTGTATCTTTAAATTGTCTTGTGTATGGTAGCATTTTTCTTTCTAATGGTCTAGAAATATTATTATAAGTCTTTCTTACTGTTATGTTATAATGTAGCTGTATAAATGTCTCACTTGAGTGTATACTGATCCTAAGGGTGCAACTAGAACTTACTCAGTTGAAAACTAAAGTTCTTTTGCTGATTTTCTTTTTTACTTCATGTGTTTACATGATGCATACGATCTTCAGAATAATATAATTGCAATTCCAGTTCTATATAGTTCAATTTAGTGACTCAAATCTTTACGTATCTTTGGTGTTCTAATTATTCCCCTCCTCCCCATCCCCAGTAACTCTATACAAAGAGAGAGTCATGAAAAGGCTGCATATTATAGAAACTCAGGAAATGGGGAATAGCTAGACTTCAGAAAGGGTAGTACCCAAAAGGAAATTGAGGTTATCAGTCATTTCTTTCTTCTTTCTCAATGTCTACTGTTTTTACATGTCTGTAATATTGCCTGCCTTTCTTAACTTACTGTTCTTTTTACTGAAATTGAACATGATCCCAAATAACTTGGTAAGCTTATGAATTATCCTATCTTGGCATAGGCATTTACTTTTGTGACATTAGCTTTGTCCAGGCTGCCTGTATTGGGAGCTGGGTGGAGGGGAAGCAATCCAGGGATATAGAGAAAGTATGATTAGTGAAGCAGAAATGTGGGCTTGGCAAACTATGATAGCTGTTTCTAGTGTAGCTAGCTACCTTGGGAACATAAGTACAATATCATTACAACACCTAAGAAAATGAGATGATGTTTTCACAATGTCTTTTATAGTTGTTTCTATTTTGAACCAAGTTTTAGTCAAGACTAATTACATTTGGTTATCTCTCTTCAGTTTATCTTAATTTACAATAGTTTGCCCATCCCACCCCCTCACCTTTGCGACTGTCTGAAGAGTCTTGGCCAATGACCTTGTAGAATGTTCCCCATACTTGATTTGTCTGAATGTCTTCTCATAATTTTTAATTTTTTCATTTGTTTCTTATTTCTATACTTTGAAAATTATCTATAGAGGCTTGATTAGACATGGGTTAAATATTTACAAAAATAATACTTTATGAGATGTTATAAACTTATATAAACTTTATTGTACACATTAGGAAATACATAAAGTGAGTTTATCACACTATCATGTTTTTCATACTTTTTTTTTTCATACTATTAACCAAGTTTGATTGCTTGTTTAAAGTAATGATATCTAGATATCTCTACTATAGTAACATTTAAAATAAAGTTATCTCATCTTGGGGTGATACTTTGGTACCATGCAAATATTCTATTTTAAGCCATCAATATATTTTTTTAATCATTTTATTGAAGGCTCTTACAACTCTGATTACAATCCATACATTAGTTGTTTCAGGCATATTTGTACATGTGTTGCCATCATTCTTTTCTAGACAGTTACTTTCAATTGAGCCCTTGGCATCACTTCCTCTTTTTTCCCCCTTCCCTCAAACCCCCCCCCCCGCCCCCCACCCATGACTCCTTGATAGATTATAAATTATTATTTTCATTTCTCACAACCACAGTTTCCTTTCTCCCATTTCTGTCATTCTTCCTCCTGGCGGGGTGTGTATGGTTGTGTGTTGATCATTATGCTTGGCTCCCCCTTCCTCCCCTTCACTTCCTCCCCCCTCTCCCCTTTTGGTATTGCTATTCCCTTTCCTGCTCCTGGGTTTCATGTGTCGTGAGCTCTTGCCTCTTCTCTCTTCCTGTGTACATGCTCCAGTCTAGTCCGAAATGAGAGGCATTACTGGGGTCATCATAGTGGGGGTGGTGGTGGTGGAGGGTGGGTAAGGAACCAGAGGAATATTATGTGTTTCATCAGTGCTCTACTGCGCCCTGGTTGACTCATCCCTTTCCTGTGAGCCTTCTGTGGGGGATGTTCCATTGTCTACAGTGTAGTCATTAAATTTGCACTTAATGATTTTGACATTTATTGAGGACCTTTTCCTAAATAATTTATTAAATTGAGTATTGTAAACATGCTGTGATTTTATTCATTCTACATTTGTTAGCTGTTAACTCTTTAGTAAATAACTCATATCTCACCCTCTTAATTTTCTCATGTCATTTTGAGTTTCTGATTATTTTTTGTTCAGTGTGTTATGAGTAGTCAATCATTATTATTGGCATGATGCCCTATTTCTCAAATTTGGCCCCTATCTGTTATTTATCTTGCCCAAACATTAAGAAAACAAAATTGGCAAGGAAGAGTTTATAGATAGAAAATTGCTCATCATATTTTTTTCCTTTTGAAAGTAAATTTTCAAATGCATGTATTGTAATGTACTTATATTTGAAATTGTAGAAATATAAATGCTATTTCAGATCTTATTAGACAGATATTTTGATGTAAATTATTCTTTAGGTAATTGAATTATCTTTCAAACTACAAAATTCTGAAAATAATATTATTGGGAATTATTATTGAGGGGAAAAGTACTTTCTTGGGAAACAGATTTGAGTTAATTTTTGGTAGAATGGATAATTCTTGAATCTAGACATCTAAATAACCTGGTTAATACATGGGCATTTTAAGAATGAAATGTAATTTTGTTATTTACAAAGTTAATTTTGTCATAGTTTCATAGATCTGTTTTTATTTAGTACCTTTGGATGTTTACCTTTATTAAAATTTAAAGATGTAAAAAATGGAATGAAGTTTGATGTTACTGTAACTTTATATTGCAGAATGTGCCCATTTACTTTTGGCTCACAATGCTCCAGTAAAAGTGAAAAATGCTCAGGGATGGAGTCCTCTGGCGGAAGCCATTAGCTATGGAGATAGGCAAATGAGTAAGTAGTATGAATTGCTGTTGATATAACTTCTAAAAATACGAAGTGCTTGATGTAGTTGGAATATTTTCATTTAGTATAACTTTCTATACCTTCAATTTTGAATTATTATTTCATTTATTTAGTTCCTGTGAACTTTGGGGAGTACACACACACAAAAAAAAACCCTAAGCATTTAAAATTTTAATAGTATATTGTTTTTTATTTTTTCTCTTTTCAAAGCATATTTCCCTGCTAATACTATTAGTTTCTTATCTTCTGTTCATCCGGAACTGAGTTGATACCTGACTCGTTACTGGTAACAGCTTAATTCTTTGGAACATCATTAATATAGAGAATAATTATACTGTGCTATGACAGTGTCTCATAAAATGCTGGGTACAGGTATTACTAGAACTGGGTACAAATTTCTCTCTTGTTTTAATCTTTAACTGAGCTTTAAAAAAAATCATTTCCTTTTTCATACTGTTCAATTACTCTACTTTCATACTCCCTAATTTTATTTCAGTTTCAAATACAGGTTTTATTTTGAAAGGAACATCTCAATAGTTGATGTTTATGTTGATATTGCTGGGTGGCATTGAGCTGCTTTCAACTGCGCCATTCTCATAACTGTTCTTTAACCTCATTGTTGTAACCACTGTGTCAACAACATCCTTTCCAGGGCGGAGCTTTTGTAGTATGCATTCACCCCCACCCTCCCCCCACCCCTCCCCACCCCACCCTATCCTACCCTAGGCATCCAGCAACTGTGAGTTAGTACACTCAGTGGTGTCGCCTGGGAAGGTTCTCTCTGGTTACAGTGAATTTTTTTGTAAAGCAGTTTTCACTTGAACCTTGTGTTGTGTGATGGCTGGTTTAAGAGAGCAGCAATCGGGTGTGAAATTTTGTTTCCTACTTCGGAAAAATGCCGCAGAAACTATTGTGACGATGAACACAGCTTATAATGACAGCGCTATAGGAAAAACTTGAGTGTGTTAGTCTGGGTTGACTAGAGAAACAAGTCCAGAGACATTCATATAATTGTAAGAGGGAGCTTTATATCAAGACATAATTATGCATTAATAAAATATGCCCATCCATTCGAGATCAAGTCCATAGTTTGGTATTCATCATAAATCTGATATTAGCCCATGAATTCCTCTTTAGACTTATGCAGCCCACACAAAGATGCCAAATGCAGGAAGATCACTGTGAATTTTCCCACCCAGGCCGGTGTGTGGAGAGTCCTGTGGATCCTGTGGCAGTGGCTGCATGCCCAGGGCTCTAGCTGCCACCATCATGGCTGCATGTGGCTTGTCAACAGGAATATCAAGCAGAGAGAGTGGCATGCCTCTTCTGTTGGCAGAATCAAGAGAGAGGAAGTTCCCAAGATCCCCATGAGAAGGCCATGCCCACAAGGAGGGATCATCAAGCTGTGACCTGATTGACAGGCTAGACTCCACCCCTTCATTCTTTCATTGTTGACATGAAATTTGTAACTACCACATCAAGTGTATGAGTGATTTTCTTGTTTTAAAAAAGGTGAAATGTGATTGATGACAAACCTTGTTGACAAAAGTGTTGAAAATATGTGCTCTAAGACCAACAACAGACCACTGAAGAGAGGGGGAAGTTATCTGGACTATCTTGGAGCTTGGTTCAGTGAATTTTAACAGAATATTTGGGAATGAGAAGGTTCGCTGTGAAATTTGTGCTTCGAGTTCTGACTGACCAGGAAAAAAGGTATCGAGTGAAAACAGCCTTGCTTTGAAAGAACAGATCCTAAGCGACCCAGACTTTTTTCCCAGGGTCATTACTGGTGACAAGATATGGTGCTTTCTTAAGATCCTGAAAGCAAAATCAGTTAAGCCAGTGGAAGACACCATCATCACCTCATCCCAAAACTTGTCAAGTGAAATCACAGATCAAGACGATGCTCATTTTTTTTTTTTTTGATATGAGGGGCACAGTGCATTTGGAGTTCATTCCAGCATGTCAGACTGACTAATCAAGCTTTCTATATAGAGGTTCTGAAAAGATTGCCTAACAGTGTGTGACAAAAAAAGCCTGATTGGTGGCAAATGGGATGGTTTTGCAGCCATGACAATGCACCTGCTCACACAGCCATCTCAGTTTTTGGCAAAAGATATATGCCTCTCTTATCCCATGCATCTTACTCATCTGACCTCACTCCTTGCGACTTCTTTTTGTTTCCATGAATGAAGAGGGACATGAAAGGACAGCGATTTGACAGCATTTAGGAGGTGAAGAAAACGAGGGAGGTGCTGTCAGTCATTTTTCAACCAGATGAGTTTGAAAAATGTTTCCAAGAATGGAATCATAGATTTGACAAATGTGTTGAGTTTAAAGGAGAGGACTTTGAAGGTGATGAGGTTGTTTTGTAAAAAAATTTAAATAGGTAGCTTTGAAGGAAAAACATTTAACAGTTTTTTTTTGGGGGGGGGCACCTCCCACAAGCCTTTCTCCAATCCTGATGCCCCACTCTTCTTCATATAATCTAGCTTCTTGGATGATTTATTCAGCATGCAGATTGAATAAGCATGGTGAGAGGATACAACCTTCACACACATCTCTCCTGATTTGAAACTGTGCAGTATTTTCCCCTTGTTGTGTTTGTAAAACTGCCTCATGGAGACAATGAAATGTTCTAGAATTCCTATTCTTTTCAAGGCTATCCATAATTGTTATGATCCACACCAGTGGGTGCCTTTGCATAGTTAATAAAACACAAGTTAACATTTTTTCTGATATTCTTTGCTTTCAGCTCAGATCCATCTGACATCAGGAATGACATCCCTTGTTCCTTGTCGTCTTCTGAGTCTGGCCTGAACCTCTTGTAGCTCCCCGTCAATATACTATTGTAATAGTTGTTGGATGATCTTCAGCAGAATTTTACTTGCATGTGATATCAATGATATTGTTCTATAATTTGCATATTCTATTGGTTCATCTTTCTTTGGAATGATTACCAATATAGTCTGTTGGCCAAGTAGCTGTCTTTCAACTTTCTTGGCACATACGTGTGAGTACTGTCCAGTACTTCATCGGTTTGTTGGTATTCCATCAATTCCTGGAGCCATGTTTTTGGCTAATCTCTTCAGTGCAGCTTGGACTTCTTTCAGTACCTTTGGTTCTTCAGTACCTTTGGTTCTTGCTCATATGGGTACCTCCTGAAACGGTGGAATGTCAACTAGTTATTTTTGTACAATGACTATATATCCACCTTCCTTTTTTAAAAAAAACTTAGGATGTGTGTTACCAAATAAATGAGTTTCAGTTTTACTGTTGTTCCTTTCACAGTGCAGACCAGTGTTTAAGTCTGATGGGTACGGATCCTAGAGGGGTTTCTAAAGCTGTGACCCTTCTCTGTCTCTCTTTAAATTTTATTAAGAAAACATTTTTTCCCCTTATGTAATAGAACACATACCAAGAAAAACATACTAATGTAGTTGCACAACCCATCTCATCAGTGACAGTAGGCTCTTGTGGTTATTGTTGTTAGGTGCTCTGTATGTTGTTATGTGCAAAGTATGTAAGGGAAAACATTGCCATCCTGGTCTCTAAGGAGCACTCTGGCCTTACATCCTTCAACATAGATTGTTTGGCCCTTTAGCAGTCCACAGTACTTTCAAGATTCTTCTCCAGCAGCACAATACAAATGCATCGATTCTTCTACGGCCTTCCTGTGCTAAACTCATATATGTGGTTCTTTTCTTTATTTCCCCCCACCCTCCCTCCTTACATGCAGTCCTGTCCTTTCCCTTTCCCTCTCTTGACCCACCATCCCTGGCCTCATCGGTCTTCAAAGTCTTGTCCTTTGGTGTGAAAATAAATTTTCTTTTTTCCTTTTTGATAATGATTTTATAAAACATTTATCTTTCTGAGATTGACTAACTTTGTTGAACGTAATGTCCTCCAATTGCATGTATGTATAATATTACACTGTGTATATGTATAAGAGTTTTCATTTTTCTACAGATGACTTTTCTGGTTATTTCCATCTTTTTGCTATTATAGTAATTACTGCAATAAATACGTGTGCATATGTTTGTTCAAGCTTTGCTGTTTGTTTCTTTAGCGTATACACTAAGTTGTCAAATACAGAGCTTGTGCCATACTGCTTTCCATGGTGGTTGTACGATTTTGTAGCCCCCCTGCAACATAAGAGTGTTCAATTCCTTCCACAACTGCTCCAGCATTTATTTTATGTTACCTTGAAATTTGCTAAGAGTGTGTAAGATGTCATATCATTGTTTAAATTTGTATTTATGGCTAATGAATATGAACATTTTTTCATATGTGCTAGCTTTTTGATATCATGTTTAGTAAATTGTTCATGTATTAGGCTCATTTTTGATTGGGTTATGTGTATTTTTCTTATTAAGATGTAGTTTTCTATAGATTTTTGCAGTTAGTCCTTTGTCTGATAGATCATTGCTAACTATTTCTACCTGGTCTGTGGGTTCTCTTTTTACTTTTCTGATGAAGTCTTTTGATGGACATACATGTCATTTATGTAGATTTATTCACAGTCCTTTAATTAGTCTTCTGTAGTGTGGGTATGTTTCATTGTGTTTTGTAGTGTTTTTATACCTTGTTTTTTTTTCTAATTTTTTATTTATGATCTTTGTTTCTAGGGTTTATATTTAGGCTTTTAATCCATCTTGAGTTTGTTATGTACATGGGTGAATAGGTACCTTTTGATTCTTTGGCTGTGATCCCCTTTTTCCCCTTTTGGCTTGATCCCCTTTTCCAGCACTACTTACTGAAAAGTCTTTATCTCTTCCCCACTTAATGTGTTTTAGCTTTTTATCAAAAATCAGGTGACAATACGTGCTTGGTTGTATTTCTGGGTTCTCATTTGTAACCCATTGGTGTACATGCTGTTGTACCAATACCAAGTTTTTTTTCATCGCCATGGCTGTATAATAGGTTTTGAAACCGGGAGTGAAAGGCCTTAAAAAAAAGTTTATGTTTTTTCTTTTTAATAGTTTTTTTAAGGTTTCGTTACTTTCCATATAAAGTTGATTAGATTTTCCATTTCTTTGAAGAATTGTGTTTGGGATTTTATTTTATTTTATTTTTTTGTGTTTGGGATTTTAATTTGGAATTGTGTTGAATTTATACAGTGCTGTTGAAATACTAACATTTTCATTATAGTAAGTCATTCTAGCTATGATCATGAGACATTCCTCCATTTTTACAAGTCTTTTTGCACTTATTGTAGAAGGATGTTTTAGTTTTCTTTGTATTAGTCTTGTTTTTCTGGTAAGATTCATTCCTACGTATTTTTTTCTTTGGGGTAATTATTGTAGATGGTAGTGTTCACTTAATTTCCTTTGTGGTGTAATTTTCTTTAATATAAGCCAATGGATTTTTGTATTTGGCCTGTTGCCAAAGTTGTTAATAAGTTTAGAAATTTTTAAAATGGAATCTTTGGGGTTTTCTATATTTAGGATTATATCATCTGCAGATAAGAGAGCTTTGTTTCTTCTGTGCCAATGTGAATGTCTTTAATATCTTTTGGATGTCTTGTACTCTGGCTAAGGAGTATATTAAATCAGAGGGCGATACATGATGACCCTGCCTGCTTTCTGTTCAAAGGGAGAATGTTTTTAATTTCTCTCCATTAGTAATATGCTAGCTGTTGATTTTGCTTATACAGCTTTCATTATGTTGAGGAATTTCCTTCCTTTTTCTTTTTTTAATAATTTAATTGGTGCATTGTCCACATATCATACAATTCAATAATTCAATCATAATCAAGAAGGTTATGCAATCATTACCACAATCTATTTCAGAACATTTTCTTCTTCTGTGTAGTCATTGTTATTTGTGTAATTATTTTTTTAATTGTGGCAAAATTATAAAACATTCTGTAATTCAACAGCTTCTACATGTATAATTCAGTGCCATTGATGATACTTTTCATTTGGTACAGCTATTATTGATAACCCTTTCCAAATTATTCTACCATCATTAACATGAACTCAGTGCCCTCTCATAAGCTAAAACCCTTCCTCTTTCACCCATGGTAACCACACATGAAGTTTGGTTGCTTAATTTCTTTTTGTTAGTAGTTTTCTTGATATAATATTCACATATCACACACTTCCATAGTTAAATCATTTTAAAAAGGGGTTGTACACACATCACAATCAGTTATTTTTCTTTTTTTTTCTTTATCACTTTATTAGGGGCTCATACAACTCTTATCACAATCCATACATACATCAATTGTATAAAGCGCATTTGTACATTCATTTCCCTCATCATTCTCAAAACATTTCCTCTCCACTTAAGCCCCCGGCATTAGGTTCTCATTTCCCCCCTCCCTCCCCGCTCTCCCCTCCCTCATGAGCCCTTGATAGTTTACAAATTGTTATTTTGTCATATTTTGCCCTGTCTGACGGCTCCCTTCACCCACTTTTCTGTTGTCTGTCCCCCAGGGAGGAGGTCACATATAGTTCTGTGTAATCGGTTCCCTCTTTCCAACCCATTCTCCCTCTACCCTCCCAGTATCACCACTCACACCAGTGGTCCTGTAGGGATCATCTGCCCTGGATTCCCGGTATTTCCAGTTCCTATCTGTACCAGTGTACATCCTCTGGTGTAGCCAGACTTGCAAGGTAGAATTCATATCGTGATAGTGGGAGCGGGAAGGAAACATTTACGAACTAGAGGAAAGTTGTATTTTTCATCGTTGCTACATCGCCCCCACAATCAGTTTTAACGCTCCCTCTGAGGAATTTCCTTTTATATGTCTTATCGTTTTTATCAAGAAGGGATGTTGAATTTTATCAAGTGCCTTTTTTGCATTGATTGATACCATCATATGGTTCTTTTCCTTTGTCTTGTTTCTCTGGTGGGTTACGTTGATTACTTTTATTGTATTAGAACCACCTTGGTATGAATCTCACTTGATCATGATATATTATAATTTTTTGAGGCTTTGTTGAATTCTGTTGGCTAGAGTTTTGTTGAGAATTTTAATGTCTGTATTCATCTGGGATATTGGTCCAGAATTTTCAATTCTAATGATGCTTTTGTTTCCATCTTCTTTTGATACTTTCTCCGTCGTTCAATATTTTGCCTATAGAATTAGTATTGCAACATGACACTTGAGTATGCTTTTAATTTCAGTTGTTTCAGTTTGAGATATGCTGAGCGTGTTCGTTTTGTTTGGTGTCTTAACTCTAGTCTTTGCACATTTCATTATACTGTTTATCATGCTTTCTGGAGTTGCACTTTGAAATTTTCTGTTCAGCTCTTTGACTTCATCATTCCTTCCATTTGCCTTAGCCACTCTGTGATTTACAGTCTCTTCTGACATCCACTTTGATTTTTTTCTTCCTTTCCTCTTTTTAATGACTCTTTGCTTTCTTCATGTATGATACTCTTCTTTTAATTTTTTAATAAATCATTTATTTGGGATGTATAATGTTCTTGATATCATCCCATAGCTCATCAGGTCTTCTATCACTAGTGTTGAATGTGTCAAATCTGTTATTGAAATTTTCCCAAAATTCAGGTGGGATAGACTCAAAGCCATATTTTGGCTCTGGACTTGCTTTAATTTCTTCAGCTTCATCTGAACTTAGACGTGAACAATTGATGGTCTGTTCATGTGTAGTAGATTTTATATCACTAGTACTTGACAGGGAGCCCTGATGGTGTACGAGTTACGTGCTGGGCTGTGATCCACAAAGCCAGCAATTTGAAACCACTAGCCGCTTCTCCCTCAACAGTTACAATCTTGGAAAGCCACCTGTTGGCTTGCTGTGAGTTGCTGTGAGTTGGCATTGACTCAATGGCATTGAGTTTATTACTCGACAAATGAGGGGACAAATTCAAGTTTAGGGAAGATAATCTGTCCAGGTTTACACATAGCTAGTTAGTAGGGAAGGTGGTGTCAAGATCAGTGTGTCAAAAATTCAAACTCTTAGTTATTGAGAAAATACTATGAAAGCCTGCAAGTTTTCAGAGATTTTTGAAGTTCCTTTCATCAATGCAAATATGATTCAAGTTTTCCTTAGTACTGTGTGGGTGGTGTGTGATTGTACAAGCTTTTAGTGCAAAAAGAATCAGGTATGCCTGAAAAAACAGTTGCAGGGTAATTTCATGATTTTCAAAAAGTAGCATTTGTTGGGATTTTTTCAGATCACTGTCTGATACCCTTATTGCGATTGATGTCATTGAACTGAGTTTAGTAGATCTTGCCACAAGCAGGTTTATTATCCTTATTGATAATTAATAATTAGGAATGTGGTTTGTGAATATGATATAAGTCGAAGAAAGATAATCACTTAATATTCCTTGCGGATACTCTGTTTTATTAAATAGCTAACTTATTCAGCATATCACTGTGTGTATATATGACAAGTCTATGATGTTTTTAGCATGATGGAAATGATTCTAAATTATGTTTTTCTCCCATTTAAACCAGTTACAGCACTTTTAAGGAAACTTAAGCAGCAATCCAGGGAAAGTGTTGAAGAAAAACGACCTCGATTATTAAAAGCCCTGAAAGAGGTAAGCTATACTTCTTTGCTGATTTTGTATGTAAAGAGTAACTGTAAACATCAGTTTAAGCATTTTAAAAAATACAGTCTATGTTCTCACTTTTTCCTACTGTGTAATGCCTTAGGTACTATTTATCATTGTTTTCTAAAGCTCTAAATATTGAGATAACTTTAAAAAATTTTTCCTTCCTGGTTTATAGACCTGTGATAATAATATTCTTTAAAAAGAAAAATTTTATTGTGATATAACAACTGTTAATTAAAGTGTATTTACTAATTATTCATATTTCATTTCTTAGCTAGGTGACTTTTATCTAGAACTTCACTGGGACTTTCAAAGCTGGGGTAAGAGTGTGATGTTTTACTATAAAATATGCATTCAGGGCAATGAATGTACAAATGTGCTTTACACAATTGATGTATATATGGATTGTGATAAGAGTCGTATGAGCCCTTAATAAAATGATAAAAAAAAAAAAGATCATGGCAACATATGTACAAAGGTGCTTGATATAATTGATGTATGTATTGTTATAAGAGGTGTAAGAGCCCCCAATAAAATGATTTATTAAAATAAAAAAATATGCATTCAAAACATATGTATTTAAAATAGAAATCATAGCATTTCAAAGTTGACAACTTGTCCCCAAAGGTTATTTTTTATTATATTGAATGCACTACTTATAAAAATCTGTACTTATAACTTAATTACTGCAACTTGCTTAGTGACTTTCAAAACTTAATTGCTTAAGCTTAAAAACTACTTAAAATATATTTTAAACAAAAAACAAAACAAAAGAAACATTTTTTAATAAAGGATTTTTTACGAGGAAAATGTAATTACAGGGTTCTTGAATTACTGAATTTAAAGAAGTTTGAAGCTCAATGTTTAGATCTCTGAATGTGTGAAAATTGACACCAGTTGATAGTATTTATTTGAAAATATTTCAATAGTTTTTGCCATTTTCCAGCACACTTTACAGTTAGTGTCTTAACATAGGCATTTGAAAACTCTTTTTATTTATTTTATAAAAGTCTTTAGTACTTAGATATTTAGTAGTCATTTGTTAATTTAATTTGACAAAAATAACTTCTCCCTTATTTAAACTTGAGATCATTTAGGGCAACAACCTTCATATCCAAATAAAAAGTTTGATCCTACTAATCTTTCTGTTAGTTACTTGTGTACTTTCTCCATATTTAGTAATGTAATCATTTTATAGCATGTCTCTGTGATAGTATTCTCATATACCGCAATGAGAATGTCAGGGGAAGATTATACAATTTATTATACTTTTGATATGTAATCATATTTCCATTCATATAAATTGTTTCTAGGACTACATTTTATTGTATAAAAATAAGAAAAATATGTATTGTCTCGAAGAAGTATTAACTAACTTTTGCCATGACATGAGAAATCACTTATAACATTTTCCTTAAAAGGAACAATCGAATTTGAGATATGTAATAATAATGTTAATCAACATAAATGTCTTAATC